TTATTTCTTCATTGAGTGGTTTTGTTAACAATTTTATAAACGAACTTAAAACTATATCAATTCATGAGCATTCAGCAGTCTTTTTCATTACATTGAGAATCAAATATAATAAAATAATAATATAAAAATAAATGCTTCCTTAGCACTATTTTTCATTACATTCAGAATCAAAAATAATAATAAAAACAAAATAATGTAACAATAAATGCTTCCTTAGCTGTCTTTTTGTTATGCTTTTAAAACAATATTAATTATTATAATTATAATATGTAATTAAATTTTTCCAAAAAAGTATTTTTTGTCGATGCTTTGCAAAAATAAAATGCGGCTTAGTCGGTCTGGTCTTAACCTGTTTCTTCTCTGGCTTAAGACATATGATGCCGCTGAAAAGACCCGTTCAGAAGGAACCGACGATCCTACTACCGGTAAAAATTGCAGCGCCATTTTATGTAAATTGGGATATGTGTTTTTCATACCTTCCCATACTTGTGTATCCCATAACTATATTTATATACATATATATTTCACATAATACTTACTTTGGCATTGCAAACACGGTAAACTAAAACAAAAACCGCGAATTTGTCTGTGCGGCACTGAAACCATATGTTCTGCAATGTTGTGCAACTCGACGCCCGATGTTTTGGTTAAACATCGATGCATCGATAAACATCGGCATAACATAAAACATCGAAAAACATCGCCGAAAAATCATCGATGCTTGATTCATCGATGGTTTTTTACATCACTACTGCGATAGACGCGTTAAAGTCTATCGAAATCGACAAATTATCAACATCGTTCATAAAAGCATGTATGTAGGTCTAGTGTCCCGATTGTCCGCGCTCGAAAAATTCGCTCGGTGGTCCAGCTGCTAGACCGTCCGCCTTCGACACATGGTAGCACAGGTTTGAGTCCGCGAGAAGACGGTTGTGAATTGTAAGTTTTATTAAAATATTATTTCTAATGTTTTTATGTACTTCTATTAATAAATAAATTCTTTGTCTTCAGCAAAATATCCAAAATACATTGAATTCTAGCAATAACAAAACATAAGGTGGGAAATTAAATAAATCTCTACCAGGCGTCCAGAAAGTCTAGCGTGTACACAAACCTCGTTTTTTTTTTTAGATTTTTATGTTCTCAGGTTAAGCACGAAATGTTCTTAAACCGACACTATTCGTTCGGAACCCGACCCTAAAGTTTCGGTCACATTTTACGAACGACCGTTCATGAACTGTCAACAAACGGGCTCACGCACTTTTTGACAATGTTTGGTCTTGATTTTTGAACGTTTCGAACGGATTTTTTTCTGGGTGTACTGATGCCGAAAAGAGGAAAGAGCGCAAGCCGAAGAAGCGCGCCGTGTCGCCTTTCCACCTGCCATGCCAACACGTAGGCGCTACTTCGGTACTATCACGCCGGAGCCTAGCATGAACGGCTCCATCACTCCGGAGGCCGCCGCCAGTCGTTCCAAGGGCCAATCGCCACCAGGCAGAAACTTGCGCCGCAGGACCATGGCCAGCTCAAATCCGACTCGCAACATGGATCTGTCTTGCGTGGCGAACAGAACTCGCAACCGTCTGCCTAGCTACAGGGCCCATCGCAAGTAGGGTTAGCAATCCTATACTCTACAGAAAACATTCCATGTACAGAACATTGACTATGCAGCGGATCCCAATGCGTGCGTTCCATCCGCTGCTGCTATTTTAGTTTGTTATGTTTTTTTACATCGTTTACACTACACGTACCACAAAACGCTAGTGGTAGGTGAACCCTGATCTCGAAACGAAATGTATTACTATGAATTAGGGATACTTTTTTTAAGTCATTTAAAAACGTATTTATTTGAAATTCATTTAAAAAATTTTTTTAGACTAAATTATCTGCATTTCAGTTAAAAACTTGTGCTAAACAATGCTTACATCACATTAATTGCAACTTATAAAATACCTATTCGAATGGTTTATGGACAACATTCAACAAAATTTGTGTTGCCCTTTTTTTTAAACTCACATTTTCGTGTTTCTGTCAGTCAACGAAATATCTATGTAACTAAATTATTTTCTGTTTGTATGAAACTTACATCACTTTTGAAACTGATAAAATACGTATCTAGATAGTTACGAAAAAATATTCAAACATATTTGTATTCAACTAATTTTTTTTTTCCCTTGTATGAACTCTGTCCAAAATTGTTATACCCTTGCAGAGGGTATATTGATTTCAGTCAGAAGTTTGCAACGCAGTGAAGGAGACGTTTCCGACCCCATAAAGTATATATATCAGCATGACTAGACGAGTCGATCTAGCCATGTCCGTCTGTCCGTCCGTTTCTACGCAAACTAGTCTCTCAGTTTTGAAGCTATCGGCCTGAAACTTTCCCAAAAGTCTTATATTTTTTGCAGGTAGTATATAAGTTGGAACCAGCCGGATCGGACAACTATATTTTATAGCTCCCATAGGAATAATAGGAAAAAGAAATTTAAAAAAATTATATCTTTGGCGTTTTTTATCATATAACCTCCTAAGCTTGGATATAACATTTTTTAATTAGTTTTGAATTTTGAATTAAATTTTATCAAAATCGGAAGACTATATCATATAGCTGCCAAAGGAACGGTCGTAAAATTGGTGGAAAAATAATATGAAACAAATTATAGTTTCGGTGTTTTTCAACATATAACCTCCAACGCTTGGAAATAACATTTTTTTATTAGTTCTGAATTTCGAATTTAATTTTATCAAAATCGGACGACTATATCATATAGCTGCCATAGGAACGATCGCAAAATTGGTAGGAAAATAATATGAAACAAGTTATAGCTTCGGTGTTTTTTAACATATAACCTCCTACGCTTGGAAATAACATTTTTTAACTAGTTCTGAATTTCGAATTTAATTTTATAAAAATCGGACGACTATATCATATAGCTGCCATAGGAACGATCGGAAAATTGGTAGGAAAATAACATGAAACAAATTATTGCTTCGGTGTTTTTTGACATATTATCTTATACTATTGGGAATATAATTTTTTGTGTTTTTAAATTTAATAATTATAGCTGCAAGGGTATATAAGCTTCGGCTTGCCAAAGCTAACTTCCTTTCTTGTTTTTTTTTAATTTTTGTAAAACTGAATGAATACACAAATACTTCGGTTTTGAATGACTTCTCTCTAACACGATTAGCATTTGACAAAACAGTACAAATTTATTATATAAACATGATCATCTAATATGTACAACTGTTTAAAAACAGCTCTCAAATTGGACGGTACATAAATATGAAATATGAATAACATAATTGTCAGCGAATCTCATTCAGAAGTTGAACATCAAAGTTTATTGAATCACACACGCATATTGCAACTTCAAGATGAGTATATCAACGATATCAATGTTGATCATCTGATTTTTTTCGGTAAATGGGGATTTGATGGTAGCACGAGTCGTGCTGAATATAAACAGACGATGATGGATAGCGACCTAAAAGACAGCACTATGTTTTTTACATCATATATGCCCCTTAGACTGGAAGAATCCACGGCAATCATCTACCCGACATGGCAGACCAACCCGGTTCCCATTTTAAAAAGGAGACGACTCAGCTTTGCCCTGACGAAGAGGTGAACTTCGAAAACAAGATTGATCCGCTTAATTGTAGCATGGTTGCAATACGAAAGCGAACAATTAAAATCGAACATTCTTTGCAACTTACCATGGCTGATGGTAAAGTTTGTAATGCATTAAGTGATATAACATCCAAAAAATGCTATATATGTAATGCCAAGCCTACAGAAATTACTTATCTAGAAATTTGTTTATAAAAAGAAGTTCATGAGGACCGATTTATTCTCGCCTTAAGAAGGTTTTAAGGAGGAAAGTAATATAAAGCGCATTCATCTTGCAGCCCTGTAATAAAGCACAGTTAGTATTAATAGTATTTTAATAGCTTTCTCTCTGTCCATCTTGAACCATTACCCATGTATTTGGAATTTGACGTCAACGCTGAAATTTCTTAATTTTTAAAAAATTTTCTGATGGAAATTGGCCCCTTAAAAATAAATCTTAAATGGGAGTAGTTTTTGCTCCACTTGGAATCTACTTTCCACTATATGCTTTAATTTGGGCTTAACGCGATTTTAAAAAGATATTTTATTGGATTTGTTATAGCAATAAAACTGTTTTTCAGTTTAATCAACTGCTCCTATCTGTCACCAAATAATTACTAAATAAAAATAAATTTCATTTATAATTTATTTTTACAGACGTATTTTCATCAGAGAAATTGTGAACATTTTGGGAGTTTAACTTACGTCAAATTCCAAAGACATGGACCATGGTTCAAGATGGGGACTATTTTTTAGCGATGCCGTCATGTATTGAGAGTGTGTTTCAGCGAAAGTATTTAAGATATGTCCAATGGGCAATATAATTTGTCAGCAAACATCGGACTTTTGTAATTTAAGCGGAAACTGTGGGTGATGTAAAAAAAGTATATATGGGACTTTTACTCAGTAGCACCCAAATATCTTGGAAAACTAGAAATGGTTCGTGGAAATTTCAATTCAAAGTTAAATTTTGTGGTCTGTGTAATTTAAACTTTAAAACGCTTCATTTATTTACTTTTATCTGTACAGGAGAAATAGTATTTGGCACTCTGCTAAAATAAACTTACGCTGCGCAAGAAGCTTAAGAATATACGAGTACATGCCAAAAGCCAACTTTCAAGCTTTTATAGTTTCAGATATTTCAGCGTTCATACGGACAGATATTAAATAAATAGAGACGTACACTGAAATATCCAGATATCGTTAATTCGGAAACTCAATGGTCGTTGACAAGTACAAGGTTTCTGAAGCTAGCACGAGATAGAGTAAAGGAAAAGGATTTAATTGACGACGGTAAGTTTTCCTACTCTGTTAAGGTCTATCATATTTATAAGTGTTTGCTTGCTTAATATTGGAACTCGTACAATTTTATATGCCACCCTAAAAGCAAAAGCTCGTAAAGTGGTTACAAAGGCGAAAAATAAGAAACTAACAATTCAAGACGCCCGACAAAGCTTTTATTTACACCTTGCATCATCCGCCGAGATGTAGACTAGAGCTGGGAAACTATCGATGGCACTATCCACGTATCGAATGTTTAACTTTCTCGGCCACCATCGATAGTTTATAGTCGCTATCGATGGTGCTGGGTAAGCAAAATGTAAAAAATTATATATTATGTATTTTCTAATTAAAACGCATTCTAGATTAGCGTTAATTGGACGTTGGTTATGGCTCTAAGCATTGATAAATATATAGTGAATTTGAAAAGAAAAGGTAAATATATTTCTTTTTTATAAACAATGTATGTTCGTACCCAAAGGTACTCAACATGACCACACCCAACAAATCAAGCAGTAGCCAAGTTGGGAACAGTACCAGGCGCTCAGTAGCACCCACTGCATATGAGAATTGCTGATCAGCATATTATATGTCTCACTAACTCACCGTCTCACCGACTCAACGGCACACTGACCGGCCAATGCAGTCAGCACATTTTGCAGTGTCAGCCAACTACGCAAAGCCAACTACGCAAACTGCTACCATAATCATAATTCCCTGATCTACTTTAGAATATAGCTTACTTCACTAATCATTACACTAAACTTCCGTGTTCCAAGTAGTATATAAACATGTTCCAAATGAAGAATAAAACAGTTATCAATACACCTCTTAACTCCGAGGTTCTACTTCCAACATCTGGGAATAGGGCTCGTAATACACTATCTCAACTAGCAGCTAACCACGTTAGCTCACCCTCAGCGCAGCTTCAGCATCGCCTGTGGTCCGGCATCACAGTAACCATCGTTACCATTGCCGCGACGCGATCGTCCTGCCATCAAAGCGTCCCCGTGCCAGCGACAAGTGCTCATTACCCCCTTGTCCCGCGGTGTGACCCGGAAGTGTCTACTTCGGTTAGACACAAACAATGTATATATATTAATATTTATTTATCTAATATAATAAATATAAATAAATTAGTAATATTAACCCACCACCACCACTTTAAATCCGCCCTAAAAAAAAAGGGTAGATGCAATCGTTGGCCTTCGACAACATGTTAATATAAAGCATGCGTATAAAAATGTAGATCCCCTACAATACTGGATGGTAAATATACCAATTTGAAAAACATAAATAACTTTTCTTCTACTTTAGCATAATGATTCTAATATAAAAAGTTTAATATCAAAATTTTTATGTGTTCCCGCAACATTGACAGAGTCTGAGCGTGAAGCTAAACTTATTATTACTAAACGCAGTGCTTCGCTTAGAGCAGACACAGCTGACATACTCTTTTCTTGCAAAGAAATACATGGATAGAGTAATATTTTTGTTAATCCCATTTTACATGTACTTGAATTATCATTTTGTTTTTTGATTTAATCTCCGAGTTGATCTTCTTTTAAGTTCCTTAAGTAGTTTTAGTAGTGCAGCATAGTTAAAGTTGATAGTATGATACATTAAATATGATATACGAAATATAAAATGCGAAATAAAAATTCGACGTTGCTTATAATTTTAATTTTTAAAAAGAGATGTTCATAAAACGATACTATCGATGGTATCGAATTTGGTCTCCCAAAACATCGAAAATATCGAAAGGATTTAATCTCCGAGTTGATCTTCTTTTAAGTTCCTTAAGTAGTTTTAGTAGTGCAGCATAGTTAAAGTTGATAGTATGATACATTAAATATGATATACGAAATATAAAATGCGAAATAAAAATTCGACGTTGCTTATAATTTTAATTTTTAAAAAGAGATGTTCATAAAACGATACTATCGATGGTATCGAATTTGGTCTCCCAAAACATCGAAAATATCGAAAGGGGCCACTCTCGATAGTTTCCCAGCTCTATTGTAGACTGCTATAAAAGAAATACGTGAAGCACAGTTCAAAAGTAAAAAATTTCTACAGCCCATTACTTGTGGATGCGTTTGGGAATCAACTGAAATTTTATTATTATTTATTTATTATATATTGTTTATTGTTAATATTTAAGCGCAATTGAAACAATAGAAAACGCTATAGTCGATGGCCTTGACTATTAGATACCCGTTACTCGGTTTAAAGGAGTGCGAGAGGGTTGGATACATGCTTAAAGCAACTCGGTATTTTTCATTAACACACCTAGCTTTTAGCGCCACCTATCTTCTTTTTCTATAGAGCCACATAGCGCATGTAGCCCCAACACTCCAGCTCCTGTAGTTTTCGAGATCTCAGCGTTCGGTCCGTATGAACGCGTTTCCGACCCCATAAAGTATATATATTCTTTATCAGGATCACTAACCGAGTCGATCTAGCCATGTCCGCCAGAGATCTCTGAAACTAAAAGAGCTAGACTATTGGGATTTTGCATGCAGATTCCTGAGCTTCTTACACAGCGCTAGTTTGTTTCAGCAGCGTGCCACGCCCACTCTAACTCACTTACACACCTAGCATATAGCGCCACCTATCTTCTTCTATAGCGCCATCTAGCCTACAGCCCCAACTAGCCTATAGCGCCCCTAACGGCTTGGTGACGTAGTATTTGCTGTAGGTGGTGTACAATATGGATTGAATTGCAAAATATTGATTATTATTTTGTTATAACATTTTAATGACTGGTCCGATTTCATATGGGTTTTGATAATAAGAACAAACTGGCATTTAAACTTTTGCACAATATCACAAAATATTGGCTCTAGACGAGTTTTAGTGTTTCAGTCTTTTGTGGGCGCGCAGGAAGTTCAAGAATCTGCATGCCAACTCCCAACATTCCAGCTCTCATAGTTTCTGAGATCTAAACGTTCATACGGACTGATGGACATGGCTAGATGGACTCGGCTAATGATCCATCAAGAATATATATACTTTATGAGGCCGGAGCGCTTCATTTTACCTGTTAAAGACTTTCCGACAAATCTACTATACCCTTTTACTCTACGACTGACGGTATGATACCTAAAAAATTTTATTAAAGGAACTTGTACAACAATTTCCTAAAAATGTTGCTGGCTTCTTTTTTGTGATCTTGGGGTCCAACTCTACCAGGAACTACCATCATTCGTCTTGGATCATTTTGGATGTAAACTAAGCTTTAAGGTGCACTGAGCTTGCATGTAATTAAATGGAATCCCGCACACTGACGAGGCGCGTCACCGCGCGAATGCTCAAAGGAGCATTCAAGCGGCGTTTGCCGCGTGTTGCCGCGCCGACATTTTCTATTCTCGGAATCTTTTGGATGTTATCGACAATCGTCGGAGCATCAGGTTTGGGCCGAAAACAGAGCGAGCAAGCGCAATTTTCCAATTTGTTTTCCGAAAGACTGATTTGAGTGCACAAATGAGATCGGCTTTCTTATCAATATTAGTATTTTATTTTATAAGAACAATCCTCATAAAATGGAAAAAGAAAGAGGAGAATATCATTCTAGTGAAAGTAACTGTGTGTCACTGTAATTGAAAGCTTACAAGAACTCCACTTATAGTGCGTGTATTTTCAAACTAAAAAATGTGAAAATGATAAATATCCTTAATAATAAATATATTTAAGACCGGACGTCTTCGCTTGAGAGTGCGTTCCTCATGCCGCACCGCGCCGCACCGCCACAGTGTGCGCGCACCTTTAAATGGTTACAAATATTTAATAGTGTAAAATTGTAGCTTACAATCTTTATCCATGACCCGAGCTATCTCCTCCCGGGCTCGCTTATAAATACAGATTCTGTGCACAGAGAAAATAAAATACCAAAACTGGTCATTAATCGGGTATTTTTGCTTATCAATTTCAGTCCCTTATATATTTATATCCTTGCAGAGGGTATTATGATTTCAGTCAGAAGTTTGCAACATTCATATATGATACCAATCATACCAATTAGAAATGTTGATATAAATCCGTATCATATTGATATGAATTCATGTCAATTTGATATGAAAAAAGTGATATGTCAAAATTGAGCAAACAATATCAAACGGGTATTGCTCCGTTTTTTTCTCTGTGTGGCTCAAGTACAAAGATACTGGACGATCCTCCACAAACTGGATAAAAGAATTTTTCCGGCCGACGCACAGTGGTCAAAAAGGCTCATCTAGCAGCGTTTAATTAATACCTTTTAGCGCAAAACTTTTTCTTATTTTTAATATTTTTTAGGTGCATATAGATTCAGCTACAATGTTAAACAAAAATAAATATATTTTTTTAATTTATGTGAGGTTTTTTATTTTGTCAAAGATGCAACTTTGTATCATAATTTGAATTTGTTTATTTCAATGACCAAATTATGAAAAAACTTAAAAATATTGTGTTAATTTCTTATTCCAATAAAAATACATTCAAATTTAATAACAAAAATAATTAAAATTGTTTTTTAATTATACCATATTGGTTTAAGTCACAAGCTTTTATTTTCTTAATTTCTTATATTTCTAATAATTTTGTTTTCTAAATAAAATTTATTTTTTCTGCATGAAGAAAATTTTTCTGATTTTTGCAATTTTAACTCCTTGTCTAATTCATGTATTATTTATTTATCAAAGGCATTACAAAGTAAATTTTTTACCTCCTCATCCAAAAAAATATCATTATTTGAATGGCGAGACGGACTTTTGCTTAAACTCTTTATTAGGGGGTCTGAAGATATAAGTAATGAGTTCATCAAATCCTCCATTGTATGTGTGCGTGAAGTTTTACAAGGCTTCTTCCGGTATTCTGTGTACCGAGCTTGGCATGTAGTACCAAGGATACTCACTTACAAACATTTTTGCGGTTTGTAAGGCGTACTCACGAAAGCTGTCAATATTTATGGCATATCCTGAAGCCATACTGCGTAAAATCACACCAAGTCTTCTTATTAAGTTTTCATTTACGCCAGTTATTTCAACAGACAATTCATATTATTCGAAAAATCTTCGAGCTGTATTGCCACTGTTTGTGTTGCCAGAACCCTTCATTTGGATATCCACTAATAAAGCCATTTCGATCATGAACCTTTCTTGGTAGAGCTGGAGAACAATCGATGTAAATATCGATAGTATCGATTGTCTCAAAATTTCGTGAAAGTCGATTGTTTTTTCTCACTATCGATGGTTTTCCTTTTTTTTTTGCCCATCACTTTATGCTTTTCCCATCACTTTTTTAGCGGGAGTTGGCAAGCGAACAAGTGTAATAATAAGTAAGTACATAAAAAAGTTTGTATGTTTTGGCCAAAGCTTCGTCTGGAGTGTACTTAATTGGAACCTGTCGATCTGATTCCAGACTCTTTTTGATTTTTGAAGACGCTGTGGAATCA